GTGGACACGGCCGCGGTCAGCCCGGAGACAGCCCGGGGGAGGCTGGGACCACCGCCGCCAGCACATTTTCCGGAAACGTTTCTTCACTGGCGGACATTCTCCGGAACCAACCCAGCCACACGTGTCACTGCTTCTCGGGCCTCCTGCTCAAAGCCGTGCAGAACCGGCTCCGCGTGTTCTCTGAGCCCGTCCCACAGGCCCCGCTGCCGGAGGGGCCTCTCCTCCCGCTGTCCGGGGCTGGGGGGGGCTGGGGGACGGCGCCTGCGGGCGAAGGCCAGGAGGAGGCAGTGAGGGAGCCTGGTGGGAAGTGCAGCCGCGTCTGCTTGAGCAGGAAGCGCTCCGACTCTCATCACTGACTCAGACGCTCTGCGCAGCGCTGTGCCGCCCGCAGGGCTGCTGCCGGGCCTGAGTAAGCTGCGCCCGGTGTGTCCTGGGCTTCCTCCTGGTGGTGGCAGATGAGGTGACTCACCCTCCTCCCGCGGAGGCAACCAGACAGGCTGGGGAACCTTTTTGATGTCAGGGCAGGGCTGGCCAGGCCCGAGGGAAGCCCAGCCTTGAACCTGTGGTCCTGACGCAGGGCTGAGAGGCGGAGCAGCGGCTGGCAGGCTCCTGGCGGGAGGGCAGGGAGGGGAGGGGCTGCTGAGGAGACGGGCTCTGAGCCAGGACTGGGCATGAGCTGGAAACAACTCAGACCTCACGCCTCCAACCACCCCGAGGCTCGGTACGATGTCCATGTCCAGCTCGCAGCGTTCCCTGCCAGCCCAACGGGCCTTCCCGGCACTGACCCCAGAGACACAGCCGACAGGAGGAGAGAGGACGAGGACGCGGACAGCGCGAGATCAGCTGCGACAGTAACTGCACTGGAGATGTCCACGGAATTAAACAAGAGGCTGGGGACTGTGAAAGTCTGCAAACCAGGATTTCAAGAACCTATGAATGCCGCGGATGAAGAAACCAGCAGGGGGCTGCGCAGCACCCCCGAGAGCCTGGAGAGGCAGGGGAGGGCTCGGGATGCGGAAGGGCCAGCAGGAGGGGAAGATGGGGCGTGGACAGGCAGTGCAGGGCCTCGGAGGACCCGA